CCCCCCCCCCCCCAATTGAAAGGGAATTGGACACTATAAATTGGAATGTGTAAACAGAATATGGGGTTTGATAAATCTGACAGATCTACTATTATTATTATACGAAGAATGTAATACGATTTATCGCTGAGAGTAACCTGGGCTTTACATATTAACCCTTTTCACGGCAACCTATTTATATCCCTTTGACCGACAACTGGGTGTAACACACCCGCACGTGTATTATACAGTGGGTTCCAAAAGAAACTTGATAATGTAATCACCCATCCATCGGGTTAAAGCCTTACACTACCCACTCATACACATCATACCAATTTAAAGCTAAATAAATTCTGCATCATCTGACACAATAATATTTCATCTATATTAAGAGATGCTTGAGATAATAATATGGTCACTCAAAATTGACCTTAAAAATCAGACTTGGCAAAATTGTTCGAAATCACAGAAACGTTGTCTTCGCACGTGTATTGGGGACCATCAATATTGATAGAATAGACATACATTGCATATCCAATGAATGGAGATTTTGTTTCTCTGCAATAGATAATATTTAATGTCGATAGTTTCAATTTCAAACAAAACAGAAAACAGAGCAATAACAAATACCACAAAACTTGGACTTAACATTAAATGTGCTAATTGTTATTTTGCGTAGGAGCCACTGGTTTTCTGTAGTGCACGAACCCATTGATCATCGACTCTGCTAAATTTTGAACAATTATCAGTCATTTCATCCCAGATGTCACAGACGGTTGCAAACGAAGGGTCTTAATTGGGATCAACGTCAATTTTCTTCTGCAGCTGTTTCATGGGATGTCACACACCTGTAGGATTCTTATCGGGCTATTTACTGGTGACTACTCCAAAGTTGATGCGGTATAGTTTTCCAAGAATTGGCCCAATTGGCCCAATGAGAAAGTGATTTGCCATGAATGGAGATGTCTACTTGAATGACAACATGAGTGGTAAGACATGACATTCCAACCACCTAAAAATGGCAGTTTCATGGCCTCTGCTCCTCACTGACAGATGATTAGTCCAAAGTCTAACTTATACAACTATGTGCTAAAAGGTTTGTGCTCTACAAGAAGACCAATATCTTCTAAACAAAACCAAAATCATACTAATGAGCACATGCAATGTTGAGTCTAAGTTCAGCATGGTATTTGTAAGTAATCTGTTTTCTAACTTGTTTGAAAATGTACTTAAGAAGATGCTGTTCTTTGCAGAGGCAATGATACTTTCTTTTCATTTGATATTCAATACATATCCATTCCACCAACCTTGATGAACCTCAATACACGCGCGAACACACTTTTACGTTTCATTGACTTCGCCAAGAGATTTTAAGGTCAATTATTTTAAAAGCCCATATCTCGAGCATCTCTGAACATAGGTGAAATATTATTGTGTCAGATAATGCAGGATTTATTTAGCTTTAAATTGGCATACTGCATGAGTGAGTAGTGCAAGGCTTTAACGCGATGATTGGGTGATTACATTTTCAAGTTTCTTTTTGACGCCACTGTACAGTAAAACATGTACTCACCTTACATCTGGTGACTGGGTGTAAGCAATCCAACTCTTCTTATTCAGTTGAGCTCTTATTTACTCAAAATGCTACATAACGCTCAGCCTTTCCCCATGGCACGTACTCCATGCAAAAACATTTTGAATCCCCCCCCCCTTATAAAAAGACGTACTCCATTTACTCATCATGTTCTGTCACCAACGAAAGATGCTTTTCATCTATGCCCATTGAGAAAACGATAAATACTACCTTCTGTTGTTGATTCTACAGAGGAGGAAATATTGTCAGCAATTGTTTACTTTCTCGCGTTTAATTCCAGCCGCGCTCTAGATCTAGATCTAGAGAGAAATCTAAGCTTCCCCGACTGGACATTCAAAACTTTGCACTGGAGTTAAGAATACGTAAAACACGGCAATGTCCTCATTTGTAGGTAGTAACATTACTATATTGGCTTCAAAGGCCTTCTGTAATTATTTTGATGGCCATTGAGTGAGTACACTATTCTCACAGAGTTCAGAGTGGTGGCTCGATACGGATGTCCTCCCCCGGAATTAAACGCAAGAAAGTAAACAATTACATCCATGCCGGCTTTAAGCACAGTCGTCGGGAGAAAGCTTAAACGTGCTTAAAGCCGAAGCGTGCTTGAGTGCGGAGTAAACATATTCCAGAGATTTCCATGTAGAAAATTTCCCGTGCTATTTACCTTTGTTTATAAGTAGCCTATAGCGTCCCGCAAAAATGTGCACTGTTATTTAGACACCCGCCATGGGAGTTTTTGTTTGCTTGTTTGTTTTTGTTTGGTGATCGAATGGGAAATGAAAACTTAATTTAGACAGCAGGTCACGATACAGCACACTAGGCATACACACTGCCTGTGCGTACCACTGCCCGCTGTGCCACTCATACCACCGCCTTCATCCCACCTCGCGCGTTATACACAATGAGGAATAACGGATAGCGAGGGTCAAAGGTGAAATCGCAGCCAGCCTCCCTTTCTCGTCTCCCCGACTCTCTTAGTATTTTTTTTTGGGTCGTGTGTAGCTTTGCCTTAGGCCTAGTAGGCTAGATCCTATGTCCACGAGCGCGGCTATGTGCATCTGCCTTCCTCTCCGCCCGTGTGAGTGTGTGTGTCCATCAATTCCGTTCTTTGTGTTTCTCTTGACACTCTGCACTGCTGCAGTTTTGACTGTGTTCGAACTTCGATGGGTCATCATGAAAATATTGACTTTCTTGTAAATGAAGCGTGCTTGAAGCCGAAGTTACCGTGCTTAAAGGCGTTTATATAGCAAACATTCGGTAAGAGCCGTTTAGCGTGCTTGAGTCCGAAACGTGCTTTAAGCCGTCGTTCTTAAAGCCGACACGGACTGTACCGCATTGTTTGGTCTAAATTCGGGGTCACTGTTACCCGTTTAAAAGTATACACAATGTCAAGCTCACGCTTGGCACCAGGAACCTCATCATGCTCAGGATTCTCCTTCTCCTTCTCCTTCTCCTTCTCCTTCTTTTTCTTTTTCTTCTTCTTCTTCTTCTTCTTCTTCTTCTTCTTCTTCTTCTTCTTCTTCTTCTCTAGACCTAAGGGGATGTTGACTGCTAGTTCTTCAGCCTGCAGTACAATTGATGTTTACGTAGGTGACCGCTTTTCATACTTCGTAGGGCCTCTTGCTTTTAGGCAGACACGTCCAGATTTCAACGGTACTCTTTATGTTTTTATACTGACTAGAGTATTGTCAGGTTTTGGTATGAATCAATTTTGAATTTTGCCTTGGTGGCGGCCGAAGCCTACTCTTATATCGATTTTAGAACCACCAAGACTTAAAATGCGCAGCTTGCACATGGGACCTCCGAGATTTTTTGCCCTTTCGAGAAAGCCAAATGTTCGGTCACTCCTTCTACTACAGAATGTGTGGCTGAAAGACAGTAGTAAGAAGGAGCAAGGAGAAGCAGTACTTGTAGAAATATTCAGGAGCAAAGGAGAGAGGAGCCCACTGGCCGGGGATAGGCCGGGTTGTAGCGAGAAAGTGGAGATGAAAGCAGACGACAGAACATGTCTAGAGAAAGGGATACGAGTTAAAAGGAGAACATTTTAGAGAAAAAAAATTAATGCTTCCATCGCTGTCTGGTTTCGAACCTGGAACCTATTGAATGTGAAGCGAACGCGTACCTCTAGACCTCGAGAGTTCCGCATGTTTGGTCCTGATTGTTCTGTTTTTAATGATGTTCCAGGGATTTTTTAAAAACCGAATCTCAATACACACATGTACATGATATTGTATTTCTATGTTCTATGAAACGATCCCAAGTAGAAATTTGTGTGCCGGTGTGTTGCTATTTGTTTGGTTGCTGTTTGTTTCTGTTTCTGTTTTCTTTTTTTGGCTCTCCATTTCTACACTATTGATACACACACGTACATGTATGCTTTATAAACGACTCCCATCATAAATCCGTGTTCGTGTTTGTTTGTTTATCTGTTTGGTGATTTATTTTCATTGTATTAGTACTTTATTGACACACACACGTACATGTATGTTTGATAAAATAACACCAATTATAAATCTATGTGATTGTATGTGTGTGTGTGTGTGTGTGTGTGTGTGTGTGTGTGTGTGTATGTGTGTGAGTGTGTATTTGTGTGTATGTGTTTGTGTGTGATTGTATGTATGTTTGTATAATAATATGTATGTGTGTGTGTGTGTGTGTTGTGTGAGTGTGTGTGTGTATGTGTGTGGTTTTGTTTGTTTTGTAAAGTGTTTTACGGCGCTCGCAACTGCATAGGTCATATGAGCGCGCGGGACACACCTAATATTTTCAGTTGGTAGGAAATTTTGAATTTTGCCGGGTGGCGGTCGAAGCCTACTCTTATCGATTTTAGACCACCAAGGGATCTTTAACGTGCGAAACTTGGACACGGGCCCTCCGAGATTTTTCGCCCTTGTCCGAGAAGGCTAGGTGTAGATCTTTCCTACCAGAAGATCAGGGGTGTGGCAGAAAGACAGTAGTAAGGAGGAGCCAAGGGGGAGCAGTAGAAAGGCTGCAGAAAGAGTCAGGAGCCCAGAGGAAGGGGCAAAGGAGGTGAGGGGGTGGGGGCAGAAAGTGGGATTGAAAGCAGACAACAGAACATTGCTAGAGAGCAGGAAAGGAGGTGAAAGGAGACAATTTTAAAGAAGAAAATTTTTCGGTCGCTACCCGGATTCGAACCCGGGACCTTTGAATGAGAGGCCAACACCTTAACCTCTAGGCCACGAGAGCCCCCTGTGTGTGTGTGTGTGTGTGTGTGTGTGTGTGTGTGTGTGTGTGTGTGTGTTTGTGTGTGTGTGTGTGTGTGTGTGTGTGAGGAGGGGCTATAACGTGTGTGTTTGTGTGTTTGTGTGTGTGTGTGTGTGTTCGTATGTGTGTTCATGTGTGTGTGTGATCATGTGAGTAAGAGTATGATCGTATAGGAGTATGATGAACCAATCATGGAGAAACAATATCAAATCGGAAAACAAAGAATAAACGGAAAATTGCGATCGCGGCATCTAAACTGAAAATAATGACATCCACCTGAAGAGGACAATGCAAAGAGATAAAAACAAAAGTTCAAACTCTAAGAACATTCTGGAGAATGTTTTCAAACTTGCTACTGAGCTGAGAGCATTATAAAAGAAATTTTTCTTTAAAACTCACCCTGCGACAGCTCCTAATTGCTTTACGCTGTGATCAACTTCTCTCTTTCTTGTTCTTCTTTATGAATGAACGGATAGGCGGGAGATTTAACTGAGCTCTAGTTAAGCTTTCTGAAAATCGAGACGAAATGTAACTAGTTTGGTCTAATTGTATTCGATACTATAGGCGATTACACCGAGTTCAACAGTAACAAAGAAATATAGTAAAATACTAGTCGCTGTTCCCCGGTCGCTGTTCCCCGGTAAAATGACGTCAGCAGTCGCTGTTCCGCGGCGCAGCCGTGAAATGTTTTGACCGTGCTAAACGTGCATGCGCCAAAAATACAGCTATAAACTACCTTTAAAGCTTATTTTTAACATCTACAGCTAAATACATTCTGCCTGAACAAAATAACTTACCATTTGATGGTACAATCTCTTGAAACTTGTGAGAAATCGTGGTTTCTGTCATCCGTCTGTCGACCGGCGGATGCACGGGTAGAGAATCCAAGTTCGGCACGATTCTGTCATGTGAGATTAGATCACAGGACTATTTCGCGCCAAATTTATAATGCGATTGTTTTGGAATTTCCTGTGTGGTTTCGGAAGACTTCGAGGTTTATTTTTAGACCAAAAAAGGTACTTGACCTAATTTGGCGCTTGCACGGTTAGAGTCGGACACCGACGTTATGCTTCTATTTTGTATGGATGTGCCCAGAATGAATCGACACAATGCATTATGTTTCATTACTATAAAGTTTTGGAATAAAAAAGTGAATTAATTTTTGTTTGCTACTATGTTACTGTTGTGTGCATGTGTGTATGAATATGTGTGTGTGTGTGTGTGTGTGTGTGTGTGTGTGTGTGTGTGTGTGTGTGTGTGTGTGTGTGTGTGTTTGTGTGTGTATGTGTGTTTGTATTTTGACAGAGAGGCACAGACATAGACAGAGAGGCACAGACATAGACAGGGACAGACAGACAGACAGAGAGGCCCAGGCACAGAGAGAGAGAGACAGACAGACAGAGAGGCAGAGAGAGAGGCAGAGAGAGAGAGAAGGAAGAGAGAGAGAGAGAGAGAGAGAGAGAGAGAGA